CTCGAGATTCAAAAATTCAAAAACCTGTGTTTTTCAATTTTTTGACGAAAAAATAACGCGACCATCGGCGGAGTGGGGGGGGGACCCATTAAACGAGTAATTATTTTTGACGAAGCATAACTTAGCCGGTATTCGACTTAGAGACCCCGGACCAATGGGCATCTCAATTTTTTAGGCCCCAGATGAATTTTCAACATTAGGGAACCAAAGCCCCCACCCCCCCCACATTTTGAGTTGAGTATAACTCGGCCGGAATTCAAGTTAAAGACCTCGGACCAAGGGGGAACCCATTCTTTTTATGAATACTACCGTTTTCCGCTTTAGGGAACGGGGGCACCTCCTCCCCCCCTTTTTGGATTTTGCTTTTTTGATGGATTTTGGTCCGGGAGAGTACTAACACCCACCTCGCCAAGGGGAAACTCGGGGTTTTGAGTTTTTGATAGGATTTATTGGGATTTTCTTAAATATTGTTTTTATTGATAAGGAAAGTGATAAGAATTTTATTTTATCGCCGACGCGGCTTAAGAGTCATACATTTGCCTCGGAATTTCATCTGAGTAGGTGGCTAGGTTGGTTAGGCGTTAGGATAAGTGACTCAAGGGTCGTGGGTTCGAACCCGGCCTCTGGGATTTTCGATAATTTTTCGCCATCCGTGATAATTTGAATGTTTTTTTTTCGAGTTTTTTTTTTCGTCACATTTTTTTTTTTTGGCAAAAAAATATTAATATATATTAAAGTAGATATTTTAAATTGTAACTAAATTGTATAATGATACTGTACTATTTTATAAATAATAATAATAATACTTGATTTTACCGTGACCAACGCACCTATATGTTTCTTATATAAATACAATATAATATAACTAACCTACATGTAGTACCTACTTGATATATTACAGTTTTTAGGTTAAATACTGTTTAATACGGTATTAATAAACTAATAGATCTAATAGAACTGATTAAACTCTGGCAGTTAAATAGTACGACTATATGACTGCTCTTTTTGCCGTTTTTTTTGAAAATTATAGTTTTAGCCCCTTTCGGTCATATCACCCTCCCCGTCGACTACTTATTCGCGTTCCCTGCTATATTTATAGCCACAGACGAGTCCCGGGGTGGAGTAGTGTGTCGGAAACGAGAGTAGGTACCGTGTAGGTATCGCTATATACAGGCATATATACGCATGTATATACATGCGCCTCGAGGTTCGATTTTTTTCGCAAATCTCGCGTTTTGAACGTCCGAAGGTGGCGGACACGGTGGTCCGCTCAAACGCCCTTAAGAGTCATAGATTTGACTCCTAATTTCATCTCGGTAGGTGGCTAGGTAGGTTAGGCGTAAAAACGGGTGATTCGACGGTCGTGGTTTCGAACGCCGGCGGGGCCGTGTTAAATCGAATTTCTTTTTTTTGCGTTTTTTTTTTCGTCACATTTATCATTTTTAACGAAAGTGTTAATTTTTTTTTTAAATTTGCATTATTATATTATATATATTATTATTATTCGTTTGACGATATTTATTGGGCAAAAAAATTATTATAATTAACATTTACCGACGCACCTACATGTTTCTTTTAATAATACATTATAATATAACTAACCTACGTGTAGTACCTACTTGATATATTACAGTTTTTACGTGATTCCGATTTGGTTAAATACTGCTACAGATTATAAATACTATATTAAAAAATAGTACGACTGTAATATGACTGCTTCATTTGCCGTTTTTTTCGAAAATTCGAGTCCCGGGGTGGAGTAGTGTGTCGGAAACGAGAGTATGTACAGTGTATTCATTTATAGATACCTACGTTTAATAGGATAGTATTACATTTCAATAAAATTTGTTATTCACCAATATAATTATCTATTTGTTAATTTGACTTAATTCTCATAATTAAATAAATATACAAGGTAGGTATATTTTAGAAAATATCCAATCAGAAAATTAGATTTTGTCGACTTATTTGTTATAACCGCGAAACATAACAATGATTACATTGATTACAGTGAAGCCTAACATAAAACACCTGATAACTGTTCTCTATAATTATCAACAAATACAATTTTATTACCTCCTGTATACTTTTTCATATTTGAACGGCCGTTCCGAGCACTTTTCGCTGTAGGCGGATTGTCCGTTCGGGAATCGGATTTCACCCGAGATGACTGATAACTAGACACTCAAACTCAGAATCCGAATTTCCGATTTCAACACACACACACCAGAACCGGACATACACGCCCGGTGCATGGTCTGCGATCCGACGTAGTCGGATTGCCTACCTGACTAGCTACTTGCATACGAGCGACTTACACCCCCACTGCATCCGATCCGCCACAGGTGGATTGTCCGTTCGGGAATCGACTTTCATCCGAGATGACTGATAGCTAGACATTCAAACTCAGAATCCGAATTTCCGATTTCAACACACATACGAGAACCGGACACACACGCCTGGTGCATGGTCTGCGATCCGACGTAGTCGGATTGCCTACCTGACTAGCTACTTCCATACGAGCGACTTACACCCCCACTGCATCTGACACTCGGGAATCGACTTTCACCCGAGATGACTGATAGCTAGATACTCAAACTCAGAATCCGAATTTCCGATTTCAACACACATACGAGAACCGGACATACACGCCCGGTGCATGGTCTGCGATCCGACGTAGTCGGATTGCCTACCTGACTAGCTACTTGCATACGAGCGACTTACACCCCCAGTGTCCCCCACTACATCCGACACTCGGGAATCGACTTTTACCCGAGATGACTGATAGCTAGACACTCAAACCCAGAATCCGAATTTCCGATTTCAACACACACACACCAGAACCGGACATACCCGCCCGGTGCATGGTCTGCGATCCGACGTAGTCGGATTGCCTACCTGGCTGGCTGTGTCGTACGATCGACTTGAATCGCGTGACTTACGACTAGACACTCTTCCGAGTTCAAAAATTACCGCTTAACCAGTGCTGCCAACACGACAAAACACAATAACCGACGACCCCCCATTCCCGCCGCAGGCTGGATCAAAAAACCCAGCATCGCCGACAAAGATGCACCACCGCCCACACAGTCTTTCCGCCGTAGGCGGGATGACAAACACCGGAATCTAGTATTAAAATAAAAAAATATACAAAATTATACTAATTTAAAATTATGAAACAAATAAAATATATTTTATATATTCATGTTAAAAAAACTACCGAAAATACTTTTGATTAAGGATATGCTTGTATATACTTGATAAAAATATATTCAAAGAGTATATTAAGGATTATAATATATCAGCACCCGGTTGAGAAAAAACCGTTTTCCCGGTACTTGGTTTAGGTTACGAATTCCAAATTTTCGGTTACGAATGGTTACTAATCGGTTACTAAAACCTAGTATGGTTTTGAACTTCCTAAGTAGAATATTTCAATGTACGGGTGCTGCAGTAACGTTACGCCAGCACCCGGTTGAGAAAAAACGGTTTTCCCGGTACTGGGTTTAGGTTAAGAATTCCAAATTTTCGGTTACGAATGGTTACTAATCGGTTACTAAAACCTAGTATGGTTTTGAACTTCCTAAGTAGAATATTTCAATGTACGGGTGCTGGTGTAACGTTACGCCAGCACCCGGTTGAGAAAAAACGGTTTTCCCGGTACTGGGTTTAGGTTAAGAATTCCAAATTTTCGGTTACGAATGGTTACTAATCGGTTACTAAAACCTAGTATGGTTTTGAACTTCCTAAGTAGAATATTTCAATGTGCGGGTGCTGTTGTAACGTTACGCCAGCACCCGGTTGGGAAAAACGGTTTTTCCGGTACTTGGTTTACGTTACGAATTCCAAATTTTCGGTTACGAATGGTTACTAATTAGTTACTAAATAATGGAACCGATTTCGAAGAAAATAGTTTAGGTTGTGGTGCTAGTGTAATGTACCTTATATATATACGGACTCGAATGTGGCAAACTCGCTTAAAACTGTATAATATAGGTACTATATAACATTATGCGCGTGTATCTATATAATATATGTATGTCAATAGCTTATAAACGCTATCGTCCTCTCATCCGTTAAGATTTATCGTAAGTTTAACAACTGCTTAATCCATGTTCCGAGAAATGAGTGTAAAAAGCGTCAAATTTTTTTTGCCTTATTATATGAAGCTCTTGCCTATGATGATGATAAGAAATACGGATTAACTGTATCCATCATGTTGAGCGAAAGGCACAATAGTACATGTCAGAATGATTAAATTATAACGTTCAGCCTCCGAAAGATACAGTTAGCGCTAGTACGTCATTAGCGCTTTTATCGACGATTACACAGTGTTTCACACAATACTCTTCACTAAGAACATATATCCAAGTTTGTGTTGATAACGTTATAAAAGATTAAAGAATGACCTCTTCACGATTAAAACTACATATCTAGGTTAATAACCAAAAGGATTTTCAGAAGGTATTATGGCATCCCAATGTTTTAGCATTACTATTCCATCTGGTGTCTGTTATTGAATACAACGAGAAAAGTAAAAAATTAAATTTTTTTGGTGTTAACAAAATGTACCTATAAAGTTTGCAGACCAAAATGTTGGAATGAGCAATGCTTTGTTTAATTTATATTTTAATTAAGTGACTTTTGACAAAGACAAAACTTAATATTTATGTTTATTAAATATAATTACAACCATACATATAGATATAATTGTTTAATAAAAAAAAATACTACACAAATAATAAAAAGTTTAATCAGAGTAATAAATAATAAAGAAGTATATATAATAAATGAAATATATAGTATATTATATATATATAATACTATATATTATTTTATATATACTATATTATTAAACATATTTATGTATAAATTGTATATGATGATATAACTTTGGTAGGCAAAGATGAGATGAAGTACTAGTTATTAAAAATAAAATATAAATCAACTTAAAGAAATCATTGTATTAATATTTGATCTAATATTAAAACAAATTATAATTATATTACCCAAAATTCACTTTGTTTCACTATGCAATTTCTGAAATTCTTAATGAGGTGGGGAAAATCTGACAAAAACCATAGACTTCTTGATGAATCATGAATATGTTCACAACTAACATTTTCAGACGAAATTCCAAACTTTGTCCACATACTACGATTCCAAGTAGCGCCATCAGTTGCAATGCCGTCTACATGGAAACCAGATCTCTCCAAAAGAATAACACATTCCATAACAATCTTATGTAACACTGTACTTGAAGCACAACCTTTGCTCAAAAAAACTGCTAAGGCCTGGACCCACTTTCCTCGAAATGGTTGGTACATTAAAACCAAGGCATGATCACCTTTACTATTTATCTGATGTTCGGGAGTATAATTGCCCAAGTTAACCAAACCATTAACCTTTAGAGTTTTTTTATTAAATGAAACTGATTCACTTAATTTCATTTCATCTAATAATAGAATTCCTAAAAAAAATAAAATGTATTATTAATTTCTACTTAAATCTGTTTACTATGATAAAAGGAATATCTAAAAAAATTAACCTCGTTTATCTTCAGGAGCCATACAATTTGCTTTTTTTGCTAAAAGATCAAAAATGGCTTGTTGAAAACCATACTGACCAGACATTTTGGATATATATTTCCCTAAAGTATCTATACAGGGTAAAGCTAATATTTTTTTTGTACGAAGATGTTCATAAACTTTTCTACTTTTTATTTTAACCAAAAGGCATTCATAAATCCAGTTAATAGAATAACGATTTCCTTTAGGATCTTTTAATTTAGCAGCAGCAAAACAAGCACGTACTGCTTCTTGCTGACTTTCAGGCAACCTGGTTAATTCATTTTCAATTACTGCAGCAGATGCAGTAGCACACTTCTGTTTTAACAAACCTACCTTTTCTTTTAACTTAAACACCTAGAAAAATATAGCTAGTTAAGTATTTTAGGTTAATAAATTAAATTAAGTTTTTATTTATTAAATAATCTAATATAAAGAAAAAGGAAAATTAAACATATAATTAGAGAACATGTGGATAATAATATTATAACTTATAACTTAATATATATATTAATAACTTATAACTATATATACATTAATAACTTATAACTATATATACATTAGATACTAACTTATATATATATTAGAGTTCTAATGTTCATGCTTATAACAATTAGAGCAATAAATACAATAATTAGTGTTGAAGTACACAGACATACAGAAGCTTAAAGTAAATAATAAAAATATCATATATATTAATATAATAATTATGAGTATAATGATTCGGTATAAAATAGGGTGTTACAAGGCATAATATATTATGACAAAAAAATACAGTATATATATCATATTTTTACTCAAATACTTTACAACACTCCAAAATTACATACTTTATTATTAAGTCTGCTATTCTTTCGAGTAATGTTTTTGACTCTACCTATGCTTTTCTGTTTCTTTAATTTTTTTTTTATTTCTCTCTGTCTTAAAGTATATATTCTCTGAAGATCTATCATATTTTTTCTTTCTTTAGAGCATACAGTGCAACGAGAATCTGTAAATGATGTGCCTGGTTTCTTTGCATCAACATAACCATAGCATGCAACTGATTGTGGGCTATAAAAATATAAGTAAAAAAATATACAAACACAAATTAACAAACTATTATTATACTATACCTTTTATCAAGACCAGTGCCACTGCAAGCTTGTAAATTATTTACTATAGCTATAATTTTTTCAATATCTTCAAAGTCTGTAGCAGTTTGCATTATTCCTTCAACATTCACTATGACTTTGCTTACAAACACCTAAAATATAGTAATTGCTAAATACTCTCTTTATAATACCTATGATTGAATTGTAAATATAACATTACACCTACTTGTATGTTAAGATTATTTTTATAAATGATAATTTTTTTGAACACTGTATCCTTGTCATTATTAAACCATCCAATAACCAAATCATCTTTTACCATGGAAATAAATGTGGCATCAGGTAATATGGTACTTTTCAATTGATTCACAATATTGTAAAATATATCATATTCGATAATTGTAGTATTAAATGAACTATTGAGGTTAGGAGTTTCAGCATTATTAGATTTTGTGTTCAAATGTCAAACTTGGGGTTTTCGTATTTTTTTTATAGAAGATAAGTAATGTGGTAGATCTGGAAACAATGACGGTACTGCATTTTCTTTTAAACAAATTCTATCCCTTTCAATTTTTTGGATTGAACCATCTGCCATTACATTTTCAAAATATTTTATCAGACTGGTTTCAGCAAAATGCTTTTCACACACACGGTCTATCCCTGATCTCAAATCTCGATCTGATCGTGGAATTGCTTTAACCCATTGTGCTAAGACTTTAGGATCCTGTAAAAAGTAGAATATTTATTGTATAGGTAAGATTATAATATAGGTAGGTAGGTACTTTTGCTTGTTGGCAATCAATTAGTTATATAATATTGCATAATAATATATTATAGTAGTATAGTACAAGTATGAGGTACATAGGCGGAGATTGAGGGGGGGGGGGCAAAATAAATAATTTTAACTTTGAGCCCTTCTAAAAAACATGCTACCAAACATTAAAGTCCCCCTTAATATGTCATAGGATATCCGACTATGATGAGGTACTTGGTACACATGTATATTGTGTATGGCACATCTTAGTAACTTACAACATTATTCTTAACTCATAAGTGTATCACGTCACAATTTAGATTAAAATTATGGTTATCCTAAATTCTAATACTATATTAAAGTAGTATGATAATATATTTAAACATAGTTTACCTTAGGTGCTTTAAACAATGTTTTGTTTCGAATTCCCAATACCTTGTTAGTAGACCTGGTAGAGGGGTATCCTTCTTTACACAATGGGACAAAACAATTTCGTGACATGTTTAAGTCTTAAGGAGATAAATTAAAAAACTTCTTACCATATACAAGAATACTATAATTTAAGAAATGCTTTAAGAATGCTTCTTACTAGTTATTTTAATAAAAAACCACGAAATGTCCTATGGCAGTTGTATAAAACGAGTATGACTACTACTCCGTAGCGCGCTCTAGCGGAAGCTACAAATTCGGGACCATTTTTTTTCTGTCCAGCCGGCCGTGATCGGTGTCCTTACTCTAATGTTCATGTTTGGCGCATAATATTATACACGGTTCGTGTTATATACATACCTAGGCACCTATAGGTGGTATACCTACGGATTTCGGGTTGAGGTGCGACTGATTTCGTTTGATGCAGTCAAAGGCTCTGTGCGTAATATAATAATACAAATACCTATATATATGTGTTTGAGTAGGATTTTTACGGGGGTTTTTATATTTTTTTCCGAATATTCTTCTACCGGCGTGTTTCTTTGTGTAAAGGGATATAGACACTAGGTCTCGGAATAGACGCTAGGTTTATCGATGAAATTTGCAATTAGCCTTTGTACTTTGTCACGTACCGTATTGGGTTTCCGCCAATATGTCGAAGAGCGCATACATCACACGAAATATTTTAAATTATATTATTGTTTAAAAGATTTAATAGAATACAAACATTGTTATAAAGCAAACGTCAGATTCACGTGAACCGTACTTTGGCCGGACTAATGTGGTTCATGTGAAACTCCAGATTCTTTATTTTTTTTATTATTAATATGTATAACGTAATACCTACCAATTATATAGAAAGGATTTGATAAAAGAAAGAAAAAAATGAAGATGATAGACAGACTATTCTGTCCAGGCTGTCAATTTCATTCAGCTGTATTATTTTATAATTCCCTTTATTTCTAGAATAACTCTACTGCCAGAGATTTAAAACTTAAAAGTCCGAGAGAAATTACTAATGAATTCGTAATTAATATTGGATGCCAGTCAGCCGGCGTATGGACGGAAATGTTTGATGTCACAATAATAAAACATAATACACATCGATAGGTAGTTAAATTACAATATTTCGACGATTACAACTTACAGTAAACGTAACAAAAGAAATTTAATTAAATAAATATAAGCTCAATGTTCATTGTCTTTTCCAATAATGCTCTGATCATAAGCTTCGATGCCCAGTGTATGTTTTTGTAAGCAAATTGGATCTAGTTAGTACTTTTAGGAGGTCGAAATTGAAAATTCTTAGTGCTTTTAAAAATAATTGGAGAAAAAAATGAAAATTGATTTAAATTGTTTGGTAACAAGCTTGGTTATACCGTCTTAACTTGGATTGTATTTGATTAATTAAAATTTTTTTTCTATAAATGTCAATAAAAAATTATTAGCACGAATGCATCAACGATTCTATTTGGCGGTCCGCCTGTAATCGATCTTATTCGTGCTATATTGTTGGTGATTAGCGCCCAACGATAATACCAAATTCGATGACTATTTGAGCCAGACGGAATATAATAATTATTGGCTATTCGCGCCTGCGATATGATATACCTACCTACGTGTTGACCGTGTGCAACGAACGGTGACTTTTGCTGGCCGGTGCCTAATCTACATATTACATAATTCACAAGATAACGTAAAACAATAATAAGCAATATAATTAACGGGCATGTTTGCGTGTGAGTGTGTGTCGGGTGGTATATTCATTTTGTCGCTACGGCGACACAAAGCTTAAGGGGTAGGTCTAGATCAACCTTATATTAGGTAATACTTTTTATTCTCTTAAGTCTCGTTTATAAATCTCATTTGACTCATAAGTATAACTTAAGCAATATTTTTAATTTGAGTGAGTAATTTGGTTCGTTGTCAATATTCAAAAATAATTTCAATATAATACGTAATAGCATATTTTTAAATAATTGATTTTAGTTATAAATAGGTGATTAGAAATTTGAATATAAAAATTGTATTAGTAAGTGTTTAAACAATAATTTAAAAATAAAATGCCTATTTTATAATTAATTGAACATTGGTGTTGCTATGCATGTTCTAATTCTTGATAAAAATAGGTATCCATATTAATTGTAATCGGTAAAAGGTTAACCTAACCTAACCACATATATAATCCTTATTCATACACAATTCAATAACAGAAACAAATTAAATAACATTCATAAATAAAAATGCTAAGAGACCCACTTTTACCTTAAGAGCCTTAACATTATGCCCTGACTTCATTAGTCATTACTGAAAACTGGTAAGTTGTTATTAACATTAATAATAGTCAAACCCATTGGCCATTAATATAATATGCATAGATACATAATATATTTGTATCTACATTCTTGTACGTAAGTACCTGTTATGTGTGTAATGAATATTATACATATTTAATACTAAAAATATATGTATTGCAATAAAATAAAAAGATTAATTTAAAATAATTTACAAATATAAGTGTAGTAAAAAATTGTACAATCAAGTAGTTATATAACATGTGTTATATGTATAAACTATCATTAATTTTGTGTGTTGTGTGAAAATAATCAGAGAATCAACGCAAAATAGTAAAGATATAGTTATTAAAGACTACAAGTTCCATATTTTCTCGTTTGATTTAGCAATAAAACCACAGGATAGATTTTATTTGTTTTGTAAAAAAGCTTGAAAATTTAATACAAGGCTCTTAATATATTGTTACAATGACATTTGAAAAATATTAAAAATCCATAGGCACAATTTATCATAATATGTTTATTTACGGCTATACTTGATAAAATGTTCAAAATATTTTGACTTGTTTTGAGCTGTTTACGGATAATTTCAAATTTCAAATTTTTTAGTTTTTATCTATAAAAATCAATGAAATTTTATTTGTAGTCCAAAAAGCAAGGCTGTACATTAACGAGTTAATAAGTTAAAGTTCAGTTACTTTTAACTAATTCTTATGTTATTCAGTAACTTACGAGTTAATTAATTTTATTGCAACGTTAATTTAATTTCTTTCCTAACCAACAGGTTTAAAATAAATTCAATTTTGTAAAAATAATTTAAAGATAGTTTTATAAAAAAAGAAACCAAAATGTTAAATAAGTATATTAATTAGTAAATAATATTTTAAAATAATAGTTATTATACCTATTGCATATTCATTGTTCAAAGAAAATATTGTATAACTATATTATAGACAGAAATGTTATAAGGGTACTGTCAATATTACTTTCCTGCAATATTGTATAGTACCTACCTATTGTTTGAAATTTTGAATAAAAATATGGATAACTATTAACTATTAACTTAACACATCTCATGCAAAATGGAGTTATTTAAATAAATATTTTAAAGAAACGTCGTGGGCCGCGAAAACAGGCAGCGGGCCCATGTACACATACGTTTATATTATAAGTATAAAAAAATGTACAGGTTAATAAAAAATTTAATTTTAAAAAGAAAAAGATTTATTCTTGTTCGCAATGCCACAATATCCTATAAACTTACCAGTTACAAAAGTAGTTAGTAGTGTAAAACGGTAAAGAGAATGGATAGAGATCGTGGACTGAAACTTGAAAGTATTGTGTTTCGAAATGTTTGGTAAATTATTATGGTTTTATAATGATTATTAAAGTATGAATGTTGAAAAGCTTAGTTTTTGGTTTGCCTTATTTTACTTTGATTTTATATGATATACCAAATACAGCTCACTAGGTACTGTCCACTAAAATAGTAAAATACTTACATAAATACATAATAACACAAAATTTGTAAATATTATGACTACGGGTGGTGTGGGGTGCAGAGCCCCCCACTATTGAATTCTAGTAAACTTTAGAAAACCTACCCTATAGAAAATTCTTGAGAACACCACTGAATAGTATGATAGATTTTCCTTGAATCTCAATTCTTCAAATCTTACCACTTTGTACACAGTGACGAGGTACCTACACTTTATACCAAGTGGCGTGCTACTACAACTGCTTTGCCTTAGATACTTTCTTCACTAAATATTTACATTATCTTTCTCAATACATTTTATAATTTAAAAAACGTATGTTCTATTTTTTGAGCTATTTATATATTTA